GTCTTGCTGCAGCGCTCACACTTCAGGCAGAACTTGTGCCAGTCCTTGCCCAGTGAGCTCACCTTCTCAGCTGGGGGGAGAGGAGGCCAGAGCCCGCCATGCACCCCCTCTCCTCCTCAGGGCCCACGCTGTCCCCCTGGTCTGGGGGGCCCTCACTGCCCAGGGCTGTGAGCTGGGGGGTCATCAGTAACCCCAGCATCACACCTGCCTCACCGTCTCCCTCACACATCCCTGACCAGCCCCGAGCCCCCAGTCAGGCTTGGAGCCGGCAGAGGCCCCGGTCTGGGGGAGTGGCCCTGAGCCCCCAGACCCCTGTGGGGAGGCCAGGAGGGACCGAGGAGCCTGCCTGTCTGCACTTGGCCCCGAGCTCCCCACCCACTGCCTCCAGCTGCTGCTGTGGAGCCCGCGGTCTGGGACCAGCTGCTGAGGGTCGGCCGGGCCCCCTCCCCATCCCCCCACACGGTGCTGGGGCTGCCTGGCCATCTCCGAATGAAGGGAAGCAGGGGGCTCTCCAGGGTGCACGGCAGGAAAAGGGCCGAGGAGAGGGCAGGAAGAAAGGCCGGGGAGCAGCGGAATTCCGGGTGGGGGCAGGCGGCCAGCAGCTCTGTCCGCCTCACACAGAGGTGTTGTCCGGGCCGGCCTCACCTAGGGTTCCTCAGCCCCCCACCAGGGCAAGGCGGGAGCTCGGGAGCCCAAGGCTGTTCAGACGGTGCCAGCAGCATCCTCGCCCGTTCCCCTGGCCAGGTCAGGGTCACCACCGCCACCTGCACCTGGTGTTCTGGGACGTGGCCACTCAGGGCAGGGGATGACCCTTAGGCCCACGGGCAGGTCAACAGCCGCACATCGCTGGCCGAGCTGGGGAGACAGACTTCACGGGGCCTATGGCTTGGAAAGGAACGGGCACCCCACCCGGCCGCACCATTGTTGGGGACACAAAGGCACAGTATCCCCGTCCCACTCTGCTCACACTCAGGTGTCGGCTACTGAGGAGGGGGTGCTGGGGCGCAGCCTGCTGGGCGGGGGGTAGGATCCTGCCCCCCCTCCGCCGCCAGCCCCTCCGGCCAGGACGGCCCCAGCGGTCTGAACGCCTTTGTTTGCTGCGAGGAGCCCGGCCGCCCAGGCTGGCAGCGCATTTTTCCGCCTGGTCCACAGGCCTGTCCACCCAGCGGGAGGGCAGCTGGGGGCAAACCTGGCAGCAGGGTGGGCAGGAGGACCCGGGGCTGTCTCCCGCCCTGCACCCCCGGCAGGAGCCCTCGCTGGGGTGGATGGAGGGCGGAGGGCTCCTGGGAGGCGGCGGCAGGAAGCCCCTCGGCTCCCGGCCAGGCCAGCATGACCACTGCTCCAGAGTGACCAGGGCAGGGGCCCTTGTCTGTCCCCACCCATCTGGCCATCCTGCCTTCTGGCCCGGTCTCCCCTCTTCGCAGGCGGGTGGGAGGGCGCAGCGGGGATGCGAGAGCGCCAACCCCCGCCCCTCTGTCCGCTTCTGTCCTGGTTGTTCTGACGGGGGAGGGGGGCGGGGGGCGCTCAGGGGAACTCGCTCGTGCCCCGCTAAGCCCGTAGGGAAGTCCTGGGGGACTCGCACCC